GGGCGACGGCCGGGGTGGCTGGGGGAAGGGGCTGCCTGGTACCTGCCTGCCTGATGATGAGAGTCTGCTGCCGAGCTCCCCCTGTGGTGGGCATTCACACGGAGCACAGATAGCCACGTTTTACCTGTCCACACACCTCTTCCCCAAATTCCTTTATTATCAATTAATTTCCCGGTCATGGTCCTTCCAAGTCCCCGACCGTCCAGCCAAACCATTGGGCACAGCGCAGGGATCAGCGTATAATCTCACGTCTGGCCGTTTCTCCTTCCCAGCACAGTGCACAAGCAAGCGCACTGCCCAAGTCCTGCCTCCTGGGAAGATTTCCCTCCACCATGTCCTTCGGGGACTTCCCGGGGAGGGGCTGCAGCGTGGCAGCTGTCCACGTCGGGTAGCAGGTCCTGAGCATGGACAGACCCATCTGTCAGTCGGGCCTGAGCCTTCTCTCCCCCGTCAGCTCACCAGAGGGGACCCCGCAGGCATACCTGGATGTACAAATATCTTGTTGAGTCCCTGATTTCAATTCTTTCGTATGAATATCTAGAAATGGAGTTGCTGGGTCATATGGTAAATCTATTTGTAAGTGTTGGAGAAGCTTCCACCGTGGCTGCACCGTTACGTTCTCACCAGCCATGCATGAGGGTCCCATCCTCCACATCCTTGCTGGCTCTGATTACTTTCTGTTTTTGGATCATAGCCATCCCAATGGGTGTGAGGTGGGCTCTCCTTGTGTTTTTAATTTGCCTTTCTCTGGGGACTCATGGTGCCGAACATCTTTTCATGTGCCATTGGCCATTCATCTGTCTTCTCTGGGGAAATGTCTGTTCAAGTCCTCTTCCCATTTTTCTTTGGGTGGCTTGCCTTTTTATTGTTAAGTTGAGGAGATTCTTTATATAGTCTGGATACGAGTCCCTTATCAGAAATACGATTTGCAAATGTTTTCTTCCATTTTTGTGAGTTGACGCTCTGCTGATTGTGTCCTTTCATGCACAAAAGTTTAAAATTTTGACCAAGTCCATTTTATGTATTTTGTTTCACTTGGCGTTGTGTCTTTTTTTTTTTTTTTAATTTTAAGAGAGCATTTATTGGTTTCATGGATGCAAATTGATCTTTGGGAGGACAGTGAGCAGAATCATTTCCTTTCTGTTTCTCCTTGTATTGTTTCAGTTTCCCTTGGGTGCTTTTTCTTTTGTTTCGGTCTCATTTATGATGAAGCCTTTCCTCAAATATCCAGGGATTCTGGGCTTTGCTCGGGGGTAGTTAGTCTTTTCCAAAGAAAAAGACCCTTTCCTGATGATGGGAAGGGGTATATGGTAGGGCAAAGAATGGCCCCCCACGATGTCCACATTCTAATTCCCAGCCCTGTGAATAAGTTAGTTTACGCGGAAGAAGACGTGATAAAGATCCAGGCCTGGAGCTGGGGAGATTGTCCCGGATTATCTCCGGGGACCTAGTTTAACCACGAGTCCTCATAAATAGGGAAGGACTCGCCCCCATGGCTGGCTTGAAGATGGTGGAGGGGGTCCAGTCCTGCAGACAGCTCGATTGTGGCCCAGCGAGTCCCGTGTCAGATGTTCAACTTATGGAAACGTAAGATAATACATTTGTGTTGTTTTAAGCCCTTAAGTTTGTGGCCATTTGCCCCTGGAAGCAACCAGAACATTAGCACATAGACAAGCCGCGGGCCACAGCTTTTCCTTCCCCGGTGCAGCTCCCACAGGCAGCCAGCAGAGGGCAGCAGCCACCGACAAGCTGAACCAGGGTCTCACGACTGTGGCTGGAAGCCAGGACGCAGGACGGGACTGGTGACCACCCGGTGAGGAGGCGTGACCAGAGGTTGCTGAGGGGGCGTGGCTTTCTGAGTCCTGGCTACAGGTGTGTGTGGAAGTTTATTGCACGCATAAGATGTACAGTTTTCTGGATGTCATACTGCAGTAAAATGGGGGGGCGGGGAGAGCTGGGAGGGGGCAGGAGCAGGGGGCAAAGAGAAGGGGGGATGAGAACGGAACACAGCAAATCAATGACTTGGCAGAGACCTCAGCATCTACAAGGTATGCCTTCTCTCCAGGGATGCATCCCTGGCAGGCTCCTGGCGGGGGCAGCAGATAACAGCCCATCTGAGGAAACCCGGTTAAAATGCCTGGGCTGGTCCAGGTCAGTGTTTCAGGCACCGCCCACTCCTCTGCCAAGAGCTGTGTGAGGGAGCAGTGGGTGGGCTGCCTGCCGTGGACATATCTGTGGTCCAGAGGCATCAGAGCATACCTTCCACGTACCCCTTACCTCCTCCGCCAACACCCCTGCCAGCTTGACTCTGAGATCCACTCAGCTCAGAGGCAGAAAGACCCAGTTGTCAGTCTATTTGCCATCCCCATCCATCTGTCCTTCCATCCATGCATCCAAATATCCATCATTCCATCTATCTATCCACCCCTCCTTGCATCCACCCATCCATTCATCCATCCGTCATCCATCAGTCCATCCACCCATATCCATCCATCCACCCCTATCCATCCATCCATTCACTCATCCATCCATCCATCCGTATCCATCCAACCATATCCACCCATCCATCCATCCACTATCCATCCATCCATCCACTATCCATCCAACCATATCCATCCATCCACTATCTATCTATCCCTCCACCCACCCACCCATCCATCCAGCTCTCCCTCCCTCATTTATTCATTCATTCAGCACTGTACCAGTGCTTCTTATTGATCTGTTTTCTGGCAAGAGTTGGCCTTTTTTTACTTTGCCGTGGCTCTTACAAAACATGAACAGGAAAATGAGTGTTGCCTGAATATGGGGACGCACACCACAGGTAGGGGGTCATTTTAAGGGACACACAGATGACTCCTGGGAACCTGTACGTGAATGTGTGTGGGGGTTGGGGAGGTGGGCACCCTGGACTAGGGGCTCTGAATCTGGCCTTGGCGTGGGGACAACCCTGTCCCAGGCACACACCCTGGCTAAGCTCTGTTCCAGGGAACCTCTCAGCTGGTCCTGGATCCCAGGACTGGGACCTGGCCTGAGGCTTGTCACATGAGGACGTGAGATGCTGAAAAGCTGCCTGTGTTGGCAGGTGGCTGGAATTTTCAAGAGAACATTCAAATCTGGGTTTTTATGTAGATTTGCCTGGTTTTTATATTTTAAGTCAACTAAAAAAAATTAGCCAACACTGACCTATCAAATGGAGATTGTCTTGGGCTGGATGCAGCTCACGGCAGCCTCCACCTGGGGAGGGAAGCAGAATCCCCAAAGCAGATCCCAGCACAGTGCCCCCCAACCCCAGACCTCAGGCCCCTGCAGGCCACGGCCCATCACTGTCATCTGTGGGCGGGCACGACACCACTCCGGGACCAACAGCAGACAATGCTCAGCATTGGGGGCCATGGGGCCTGGTTTGCTGTGTGACCACCGCGGAGCCCTGACCCTCTCTGGGCCTCATTGTTCTGGTCTGACATAACAGTGCCGGCGGACCAGCTCATCTCGGAGGTCCTTGCATGGCCAGATCTCAGGTCTCTGTGACATCATCTTTTGGTTTTCCTGCACCCACCTCTACCACCATCATCCAAGCCCTACTATTGTCCTCTGAATTTCTGCAACACCCCTCTCTGACTTCCCATCCATCCCACTGCAATCCACCCCCCACCCCCCGACAGCTGCCATGACCTCAAAAGGTGAATCAGGTCCCATCACTGGGCTGGTTAAAACCACCCAGTCTCTGCTGTGGCATCTGCCATCAAGCTCGAGGTCCTCACGTAGCCAGGGAGCCCTGTGTGAGTTGGTCCTGGCTACCCCGTCTACCCGGTCTCCTGCCTCCTTCCATGCCCTCCCCTCTAATCAGCTGTCTGCACACTGCTACCTCAGGGCCTTTGTACACCCTTCTGCTGCCTGATCTGTCCTGCCTTCCTCCAGGATTTGACCTGGCTCCTCGTTGCTCAAGCCTCCAGGGGTCTCCCTGACCAACCCTGTCACACCCTGTCCTGTTTTATCAGCATCTCTTTCTTCCTCTGACGTTATCTGGTTCTGGGGTCCATTTTCTGGTTAAGCATCTCACACCCTCTGCAAGAAGTCTTTGCCTGAGGGGAGGAGGGACCGGTCTGCTCTGACCACTGCTGTCTGCTTGAACGTTGTATGAATGAATGTCTACAAGGTCTGGGTGCCAGTCTTGGCTTAGGTGCTAAGGAGCCCTGTGACCTCGGGCGAGTCACTTCCCCACTCTGAGGCTGCTCATCTGTCAAATGGGCCCCCTCACAGGCTTCCGGGAGGACCCATGGAGAGGGGAGGTCCCTGCGATGCTGCCCCCGGGTGCTGCCTTCATGTCTGGACTAAGGAAGCGGTTCCAAAACTTTAGAAGGACGTTCTTGACGGCCGGTAACCAGGACATTGTGAGCTTGAGCTTTGCTGAGATTTTTCTCGAGGACGCAGGAACGCGAGCACTAGGGGGCGCCAAAGCTCTCCCTCTTCCTGGAGATGTGCAAGGTGGAATCACCCCGAGCCGCTTCTAAGGAATGTCCCCAGCTAGCAGGGCTGCGCAGCTTTGCTAGCTTTGGGTGTGAAAAATATCTTTCTTTCGTGAAATGGTGGTGATCGGAGGTGGTAGTTTGAAATAGTGTCCCCACTTGCCCAAACGAAAACACTGGCAACTCTAGGTGGGTCCCCAAGAGGGTTGGGGGCATCTTAGGTCCACGGAATCCTAAGTGCTACCGTGTTGGGTTGGCGGGACCAGGGGTGGGAATTTGAGGATCGTGGAAGAGGACGCTGGGAAGGTGTGAGCAGGACTCCCATAAACGCAGGTACGTGCACGCACACGCACGCACACGGAGAGATGATGAAGTCCCAGGAGCATCCAAAACCATTCATGTGTCTGGCACTGCAGGGGTATGGACGCCTATGATCCCTCCCGAATCTGCAGCTCAGCCAGGGGGCTCTGGGGACAGCCTCTCGAGCTTCCTGCGGGGAAGGTCACATGGACAGCGTTCGAGTGAAGACAGTGGTTGTGTATCCAAATTTATTTAGCTGCATGAAGGTTCAGCCACAGTCCTCTGTGAATTTGTGTACATTCACTTTTTTTAAAAAAAAAAAATTGGTCTCCATAAAAGGATTTTTGGTCATCACCTAATTTTTAATACAATATTTATATACAAAAACCCCATTTCCAACTACTTACTGTACAAGAGAAACTAGAAGCGTCAGACCCCATGACTGCCGCAAACGCCTACGGACGGCGGTCAGGGTCAGGGCTGGCAGCTGAAGGGGATGACCTCACGCCGACCACATGTTCACGGCAAACCCATTTCTCTTCTCTGCCTTCGATGAGACATTTTTTAGGTTTCTCTTGGTGCTTGAGAAATTTCAGATAATTGGTTAGTATAATGGCTGCAAATTTAGATCACTCCTGCCACCTGTGAGACTCGTTTTTACAAGCTTTAAAATGGTAACTGTCCCACAGTCACATTCCTGTAAGTAAAAATATAGAGAAGTATTACCAAAATAGAAGGCTTTATTAATAAAAATCTTTGGTAGTAACAGTGTTTTAAATTCCTCGCGATGATATTTGGTTAACTAATAAAATAAACTCCTTCCACCTTGGAGTGACAGAGAAAAACCCTCAAATCCACCCTAGAATTGATTATTTTAAAAACCCAATAAATATTCTAAAGCTGTGAATGTTCTCCCAATGCCTTAAGATTTCATGGAACCTGAAGCCATCTTCAGAAATGCCTCTGGGGTCCTCTCTCTCTGCTCATTTTCTGTCCACTTGGTTTTCTTTCTTCTTCTACATCTTTTTTTTTTTTTTCTGTTCCACTAAGAAGATGGACAGTTCTGAGGCCAGCTCATGGTGGAGGGGCAGGTGTGCAGCTGACGGTGGGGATCCCGACGGTGCAGGTCACCCGCTGTCCTGAGGGACACCTGCTGCCCCAAGATTCTCCAAGAGTAAATTCCAAGCTCACAGGCCGTCTGCATGGACAGGGCCAGGGCACCACTCCTTCTGGCCAGAATGTCTCTTGGTTTCTGAACAGAAAACAAAAGATGAAAAGCCGGCTGACTTTTCCGACCTGGTGGCAGGTGAGCCTTCTGGAACTGGTGTCAGCCTCGTTTTTCTGTTCTCCCTCTAAGACTGCACGATGTTTATCCAAGGCTTTGCAACACCATCTTGAATCTCTCTAAAGGCTATCAAGCGGATTTGAAAAGACGCTTTCTGGAGGCCTCTGTTCACCTTCCACTGCAAAGGAGATCCGCGGTTCCCAAGAATTGTTTCTGCAAAGCGCCCGCATTCGCGCGTGTTCTCACCCTATCCCCAGCGATCATTTTGATTAACCTTGAATACTAAAGATAAAAAAATTCCCTGCATATGGTTTTGTGCAAAGACAAGGAGAAAAAACAGAAAAAAGACAGAAGAATGTTGTCCTATCAGAAGGTGGTCTTCCAGGTTTGCGACGAACACCGGAGCCACTGGGCCTGGCTGGGGGAGGGTGCCCGTCGGCCGGGAGGCCGGGGCAGCTACAGGGCGCCCCCGGGGTACTCGGGGCTGTCCAGGCAGGCTTTGGGGCCGTGGTTGTTGCATGGCTCGTCCTTCTTCCGGTCCTTCTCCATCCACGTGTCCAGCAGCTGCTGCTTGCCCTGCTCCTCCCTCATGAACAGCTCCACCATCAACACCTTCTCCTTGTGCACCTGCTGGCTAATGTCCTTGGGGATGTCTGGGATGACCCAGTCCACAAAGTCGCTCATGAACATGACCAGGTTCTGGAAGGAGAGTCAGCGTGTCGGGGTGGGGAGGAGGACGGCAGGAGATGCTCCCCACCTCCCCTGCACCCTCCTCTGCCCCCACCTGCCTTCTACCCCCCCACCATCCCCCCCACCCTCCCCCACCCACCTCCACTGCACCCACCTCCTCTGCACTCATCCTGTCACTCCCAGCCTGTGACCTGAGACACATACTTTGGGCTCCCTTGGCCTCGGTTTCCCCCAAGGTATAAATGAGGCAGGAAACCAGCCAACAGGCCCTCCAGAAACGGCTGCTGACTTCTATAAAGAATCGGAGCTCAGTAAATAGCAAGTTTCTGAATAATTCTGACTCCTTGGTCTGGGAAGCTTAAGAGATGACTGGATGGGTCACGCATCACCAAATCTAACAGGTGTTGGGCTTTAAGGGGAATAGTTAGAATAGAAATAGCACGAAAGCCCGGTGGAATTTAGTCTCTGATGATGTCACAGGCCTTTCTCCAGTTTGCAAGGCCTCCCAGGGCCACCCTGAAAGTCTGCTCCCTCCCTGGAGAAATTTCTAGTGCACAGAGAGCAAATGATTGGCTTTTACAGAAGAACTGAAATCTGTTTTTAAAACTTCTGTCCAGTGATCCCTTGTTAGCACATCTGGCTGTCACCTGGTGGACAGAGCTGATACCTGCCCCCCCAGACCCCAGGTCGCCCTTCCTGGCTGGTGCTCCCAGACCCCAGCTGTGGCCAGTGCTGGCTGCTAATGCTCACAGCTGCCTCCTTTCCACGGAAATCCACCCCCCCCCAACCCCGTCTCCTCTTCTTGGTCTGAACAGACTACAGCCAACGCCCAGCCGACATGGGCAGACCAAAGGCGCTCTCTTGCCTCAAGGTAGGCCTGTGTGTGTGCTAGGGTTCATGCTCTGGAGCTCCCCGCAGGATCAGGCAAGGCTGTCTCCAGCTGAGACTCCCCTTCTGCTGCTACACTCCCTCCCCTCTCCTGGGGAGCTTCCTTTAATAACCCACTTGCACTGAATCCTTGTCTCAGGCTCTGCTTCTTGTAAACTCAGCCCCAAACACTTGTTCCCACTGCAGAGGGTGATGGAAAGCTGACAGGTGAGGCAGCAGGGCGTCAGGGGGGGTCGAAGTCCCACCTACAGCCACACTCTCTGTAAAGGGCAGAACTGGGGCTTAAACCCAGTCCCTGGGATTCCAGACGTGAGGGGTACATGACTGAACGGAACCTTGGCTGGGCCCACATGGCTGAGGATGCTCCCCCAGCTCTGGGGCTGTAGCTGCTGCAGGCAACCAGCCTGGTCCCCAGTCTCGGACCTGTCCACTGGGGATCACTTTGGCCTCAGGGTTATTAGGCCATCCCCTCCCCAGAGACCAGGTGAGGCTGGGTGCCCTGGCTCCTGGCTGGGGGCTGGAGTTGGCCAGGAACCCCTGCCCTCCTCCTGCCTGTACTGGTCCTGTCCTCCTTGGACGTCTCCTGCCACCCAGAGATGGCGAGAACTCGAGCTGGGTCTCCCTCTCTTCCCGTCTCCTTCAATAAAGACCACTCATATTGAACTAACCCTGCCTTCCCCAAAGAGGTCCACATCCCTCTGTCGGCGCTGGCCCATGCCCTCCCTCTGCCTTCCTGGGACCTGTCCCTGCACAGGACCCGGGGTCGCCAGGCCTCCAGGCCTCCCAAGGCCCCTGACGCGGGCCAGCTGCTGCCTTCTGACCCCATTCTGGGCTCAGAGCGCTTCCTCAGCTCCCGCTTCTCAAACCTTCCAGAAACGAGGGCCTGTCACACCTGGAAGACAATGACGAAAGCCAGCCGGGCTGCCAGCACGGCCCAGAAGTCCTTGGAGATGTCGTACTTGTGCTCCGACCACGGGGGCTCCCGGTAGTCTTTGTACCTGCAGAGATGGACAGGAATCGATGGGGGGTCTTCAAGCAGAACTGGGGATGCTGGCCGGCGCCCTGCGGCCCTGAGCTGGCAGCAGGAAAACCGGCCTCCTTCCTCTCTTCTGGCAGCAGTTTCTCGGCTTTTCCCTCCTCATCCATACGCAACACCCGTCCGCCCCTTTCCCTGACGTATCAGCGTAGACGCTGCCCACTGACTTCCTCCCGGGGCAGACACCCTCCCCCCAGATCCCCCCTCACCGGCCCTCGTTCTACGGAAGGTGATCTTCCTTGCTTGCCTGTCCACTGCCCTGCCAGCAGGCAGTGTCCCCCCAGCCAGAGCACCCCATCCCCGTCCTCTCCTTCCCAGAGGTCCTGAGATGCCTAGTCTGTGGGAGTGGGGTGAGGATGATGACCTGGGGTCCTGTCTCTACCCAGGCCCTCTGACTCTGCCCCAAATTCCGGGGATGCTGTTGGCTTTAATGGGGCTGATCCTGTGCTACATGTGGGAAAAGCTTCCCCAAAGCTGTCAGAATAAGCTTGAAGTGGGGGCAGTTTCCAGGTTTGAGGTGGTAGGTGCAGCCCTGCTGGCTGCTGAGGTCTGGTGGAGTTGGGGACCAGAAGAGGAGGCACCTGGCTCTGGGCGCACAGCCCTGGCCTGACCCCAGAACCAGTGACCACCTTGCTGTGTGTTCTCGTGCAGTGGCTTGGCCTCTCTGGGCCTCGGTCAGGCATCCCCTCAGTCACATGAGAACCATTATTGAGCAGCTACTACATTCCAGCTCCCATTTCAGGGGTGGACATTCAGGAACACGCAGCAGACAGGGCCCCTCACCCACAGAGCTTTACTCCTGGAGGGAGCTGGATGGGAGCCTCCGAGGAGCCGCGGGGTGCTAAGCTGCCAGACCCAGACATAGGATCGGCCTCCCTGGGAACGATCCTATCTGGGCACCAGCTGTAGAGTGACACAGGACTTGTACAACCTGCTCTTTGATGGGAACACGCAGCCCCTGTTCTCCCAGCATCAGAGGCCACGCACGCTCGCTCCTCCCTTTCCTCTCTGTGCTCACGGCCAGCTGCACTGGGGGTTACCTGGCAAACTCCTAGGCATCCCTCAAAGCCCACTTAGACCTGTCCAGAGGCCAGCTCCCACCATCGGCACTGACTCGATCAGAGACAATCTTACGTTTTCCTTGCTTAGCTCTGGTACCCAGCCTGCCCGCGCCCCTGGGGAGGATGATAATGCCCCCTCTGGGGGTGGCTCTGGGGCTCAGATGAAAGAGCAGCTGCCTCAGTGCAGACATAAGTGGTGGCCGGCAGCGACCGAAGCTCTGAATGTGCTCTGCATCTCCCCACACCCACCGCCCCAGGCTGGGCTGGGTGCTGTGCCTCCTGCCACAGATTCCTGCGAGAGGCAGCTTGCGTGGGCGCGGCTGCCGAGGGCCTGGAGCTCCCAGATCTGCGCTGCTGGATCTTGGCCAACGGACGGGGGAGGGCCTGGCTGGAGCCCGAATCCCAGGGAGCGCAGTGGTCGGATCCATGGTCTTCCAACTCCGTGGGGGTAAAAGCTACGAGACACTTATAAATGGGTCTCGGCTCTGTCAGCCTGGCCTCTCCCCCACGTGGCCAGAACCCTGGGCTGATGCATGGGACGGAGCTGCTTCCTTAGCCAATGTCTGGGACCCAGGGTCCGGTTCTTGGAAGCCGAGGCTAACCCTGTAAATACCAACGCAGAGGGAATTCCTAATAAGATGACCACACATCTCCTGCCTTCTTTGCTTGTAATTATTCTTCTTCCAAAAAGGACCTTTAGCAAAGTAGGTCAAGCTTGTGCACTTAGCATGGAGCGTCGAGATGATGCAGGGAAAGCGTTGGTGCTGCGGGAGGTGTGGGGGTCCCGGGCGGAAGCCCAGGGGGTGGGGGGCTGCCTGTCTGCACCAGCCTGGAGCGTGCGTCTGCTGAAGGATGGGGGTGGGTGTCTGGAGCCCCCTCCCCTGCACTTCCGGCTCCCCAGGCCGTCCCCTCTCCGAGGTGACCATGCCGAAGCTGGGAGCGGACCATTCCGGGCCTCCCCTGTGATTTTCGGGCCCATTACGTGCACGTGGGCGGGATTCGGAAAGCTGGACCCGGGCTGGGGTGCAGGCCTTGCGGTGTTAGCGCCCTGTCTAGCTGGCAGACGCGGTTCTAATCGTTCCTGGGCCCCGATCAGGTGCCGTCCCTGCCCTGACGCGGAAGAGAACACCATGTGCCTGCGCCGGAGTCGCTCAGGGCCAGTGGGGACGCCCGCTGTCTGCGCTGCGGTCAGGAGCCACCGAGCCGGGGGCGCCTGCTTCCCTTTTCCAGCGGCTCCGGGGGGAGGGCGGAGCGTTTTCCCGTTTCTTGGGCCTGTCCTTTCGCTGCAAGCTACTTCTTGTCGGTCGGTACCATGGACCCTAGCAGGTGCCGCCACTCCCCTTTCCTCAGTCAAGGTGACAGACACATACCAGCCAGCCTCAAGGAACTATGTGTCAAGGAGGAGCCAGCAGGCCTCCCCGGGCAGGAGGGACCGAGCTTTACCGCACGTGCTCTGGGACGTGTATGTTGGCCCCTGCGCTCTTTTGTGCCCCGAGTCTCAGCTCGGTTGGAGTAGCTCACACTGATTCCCACCTCTGTGCTTCTGCCCACGTTGTCCTGCCCCCTGGAGTGACCCCACTGTGTCCACCCTTCACCCGGGCTTCCAACTACGATCCCTCCTTAATACCGATCTCCACCGAGGTCCCTGGATAGCAGGGACGATGCCATTCCCGGGTCCCCAGACCCTAACCCAGGCTGGCACATGTGGAAAGGGCCCAGGGAATGGCCAGGTCTCAGCTCTGCCTCCCACGCCCAGCCCCGCCTCCATCCTTCCTGGGGTGCTTCTTGCACACCCCAAGCGTCTGGCCAGCAGCTGGGGCCCCACAGGTCTGGCCATCTCAGCTGGCCTGCCCAGCATCCAGTAGCCCTTCCCCGAGTCAGAGCACCCCCACTTTCCTAAGGACCTCTTCATTCTCTGACCATGACCCCACATCCGGGCACACACCCCAGCTCTAGCCTCTACCTCCTGCCAACGGGGTTTCATTTAGGGATGGGCACATGGTCCACGACAGACCAGTAAGGTTAAACCCTGATTTTTGCTGACTATTGAGGAAGACATTCTGTCACTGGGATAGCTGAGCAGACAGGGTGTCTTCACTGCCCACCAGAACACAGTGCCACCATGGAGGAATGCAAAGCTGGGAGGCAGCGCCAGAGGGGGCCTGAGGGCAAACTGTAGCTCCTGGATCCAGCCATGCCTGAAGCTATCCTGGCCTTCTTAATGAAAGGAACTAGTAAGTCACTTCCTACTGTGACCCTGACTTTTTTTTTTCCCTTGAAGCAAGCTCGAGCTATTCTGTGACTTGCCCCTGAAAGAATCCTTGCTTGAAGAGGGGGTTTCCCACCACATGTATCTTTCAGAAAGAGACGTCGAGAGCCATACCTGCAGATCTGCACCTCGTAGCCCAGGTCCAGGGGGTCGTTGGGGGCGGTGCCGTTCTGGAAGTCGCTGACGTTGAAGGAGGACAGGGTGTGGTTGACGAAGCCGTGCATGGTCCCGCTCTCGCTGTACATGTAGAGGTACACCAGGCGAGGGATGAAGTCGGATGTGAAGGAGATGACGAACGCCTGGGCCGGGGGACAGGGCGGTGAGTGCAGACTCCCAGGTAGGGGCGGGAGGGGGACACGCCCTAAGGGAGCCAGCGCAGCCCTGCCCTGGGGTCTGGTCATGAGACACTCTGCCCACGAGTCGGCAGGCGACCAGAATGTTGGGAGGGCCTGGGCGCAGGGAACAGGACACCCCTGAGCAGGAAGGCCTGGGGACAAATGCTGCCTCTCCCTGGCTGTGTGGCCTTGGGCAAGTCACCTAACCTCTCTGTGCTCTGCCTGCTTCACCTTCCTGGCGTACTTGAAAGGGAACGTGGGAGTGGAAAGATGATATTCTGACTCGGCTCATCCTGTTCCGGAGCCGTCTCTGGGGACAGCTGGTGTGGTGTTGGTGTGGAGCAGGGACCTGGAGCCTGGCAGCCTGGGGTAAGGTCCAGCCGGGCCGCTTTCTGGCTGTGTGGCGTTGGGTAAGTTGCCTGGCCTCTCTGTGCTTCACCTGTACGATGGGCAATGACAGTCCCTTCCCTGAAGGCTGTGTGTGCACGAGTGGGTGGATGAGCGTAGAAGGGCCTGGATTATTCTAGAGACTCGATAAATGCTAGCTGTTTTTGGTTGTTCCCATGAGAGGTCTAGCTGGTTTCCAGCTGCTGGCAGCACTCCTGTGCTCCAGACAGGTGCATCCTGTCCCCAGCACTGACCCCCAATCAAAACGTGCCCTCCCGTCTTGGATGCTGCGCCCTCCTGCCCAGGTCAGGATGAGGAGCTGTTGCTGCCCAGGATGCACGCTCTGCCCACCGCGGCCCTTTAACAGGGGTTTCCGAGCCTGGACTGGGCAGGGAGGCTGCCCCCAGCAGGACAGGCAGTGTCCTAGGGCCCCGAGAGTCTCTTCTCTGAGGCTGAGCTTCACCTCCTGTGCTGTGGGGGCCCAGTCCCCAGACCCAGCATCGCGGGCGTGCAGGCCCCAGGCTGTCTGCTGCTGGGATCAGCCACCTGCGTGCAAGGGGTCAGCTTCTGGGGGCTCAGGCTCAGCCTGCAGGTGGAGGGCTGAGGGTCACAGGGCGGTGGCACTGCGGACCTCCGAGGCTGTCTGATGTTCCTTCGCATGGCTGGGGTTTAGCCTTGGCTTTGAAGCATGTGCTAGGGACCGCTAGACCGCTAAGCCCAGGGCGATCACGCAGACCTGGATGGGCGGCCGCAGGGAAGGCAGAGGGCTGGTTCTCATGACAGAGGGGCCACTGCCCTCCTAACCTGCAGGCCCAGGGGTAGGAGAGGCCAGGAGGATGTGGACGAGGTGCCGGGGAGGAGGGCTGCCGGGCAGGAGGCTGGTAGGGGAGCAGAGTCCTCAGCAAGCTACGTGGGTGTAGGAGGGGGCTGGCAGGCTTCTCCCCCTTGTTTCCATGTTTCTGCATTTCCTGAACTTTTAAAGAATAGGCACATATTTCATATAAAGGGACAAGGCTAACTTTTAAAAAATAAGAGCAGACTGATGGCTAGGGAAGAATTTCTGTCTCTTTACCTGTCTTTGCCTCTCCCTCTCTCCCTCTGTATATTCTCAGGATTCTGGGGGAGGGAGTGGACTTAGGGGCCAGGGTGGGCGTGCTGGAGAATTTTGCTCAAGGTTATAGAAAAAGGTCGAGGACAATTTGTTCTTCCCACCCACAGCCCGTCCCAACGCCTCAGTATGACCAAGGGACATGTCTGAACAGGAGAGGCTTTTGCCAGCCTGGGGCAACACAGAAGCTGGAGACAGAGACCCCACCTGGCTTCCCTGGAAGGGGTGCCCAGCCCCGTGGCAACCCAACGGACACTTCTGTCCAGCAGAGGCCCCCGACGTCACTTACGTTGATGATGACGGCCAGCTTCCCGACGCCTCTGAGAATATTGTACCAGATTCCTGGGGGTGGGGGGGTGGGGGGGGGGGAAGCACAGTTTCAGGACGGCTTGCACCGGGCTGTCAGGAACCCCAGCTAACAGGCGAGCAGGTCCCTTCCCTGGTGGTCGAATGTGTGGGAATAAGCAGAGGTTCTGGAGCTCAGGGGGGATCGCAGCTGATGACAGAGCCTCGGCTGGTCCCGGCTCAGCGGCTGAATCTGGAGGCAAACTGTAGCTTCTAAAAGGGGTGCTTTAAATCAACTGCTCCCTGAGTGGTTCTGCGCCCTCTCCTGTGAACCTGAAACCTTAGATGAAGCCTTTCCTTCCAGAGGGACAAACATTCAATTTGGACGCGGTTCCTGCCCAGAAGGGTCCACGTAAGAGTAAGTGGAAACCAAGCCCATGAGGTTTCCATGCCCTGGACCTGCCACGTCCCTCCGGTGCTAGAAGAATTTAGGGACAGGCCCCTAAACGTATGTCAGGGTCAAAGAGCAATGCCAGGGCCCCGGGTGGGGGACGCTGGGGTCACGACTTGAGCATAACAACTTGACATCAATGAGGTGCAGAACACTTCCTGTCTGGGTGTCCCCCATTTTTGCCACCCCGGGGTCCAGCACTGCACCCAATTACCGGTGAGCAGGGGTCTCACCACACAGCAGGAGACAAACTCACGGTCCTCCCCTGGCCTCCCCAGCAGAGTGAGGCCAGCAGGGCCCGGGGAGGGAGTGCCTTATCTGAGGGCCCAGAGCAGGCCGGGCATGTTAGGGCCCCTGCCTGCCCCCCTCCTCCGGCCCAGCTGGGCCCTATCAGGCCAGGCACGTGTCACGGACATTGTTGGCCTCAGAGACCTGTCCCGGGTGGTCTCTCCCTGCCCCGGACCCAGCTGAAATGGGGATAACCAGCACTTCCCAGAAAGGGTGGGAGGGAATCTGTATTCGTCATTATGGAAAAGTGTGGCAGGGTGAGGTTCCTCTGTCCGGGGCGGAGACCGCCGCTCGCCACTCGGCGGGGGGAGCTACATGTGGGCATTTCTGCCCTAGCCGTGAGCGCGGGGGGGCCACCTGGGCCCCCATCTGCAAAGAGCAAGACCAGAGGCCCACGAGGCCCGAGAGTGGAGGCCGCAGGCTCAGACGCTGACTGGTGTTTACAAATCAGGATGATGTGTTTTTAAGAATCTGGACTTGCCTTTTCTGAAAGAGCCTGGCTCCCAAACGGGGCTGGCCTGGCTCCATGGCTACGGTGGCGCCCCCTCCAGGCCGGACCATGCACTGTGGTTCTGTTCTCTGCGGGGCCCGCCTGGCCCTGCGGGGTCTGGGTTTGGGACCTCCAAGATAGGGCGCTGGGGCCTGGGTGAGCCCGGCGAAGGTGAAGTGTCCAGGCAGAGGGCTCCTGGAGGAGGCGGCGCCACCTGAGCGCAGCACGAGGGGAGGAAATGGGTCTTCGACCCCCTGCCCCGCTGACTGGCGATGGGTCGAGGGAGGGGAGCTTGGGAAGTGGGAGAGACCAGGCCAGGCTGTGGGGTGAGCTGGAGAGCTTCCCGGAACCCAGGACAGAGCATACTGCGCAGGCCCTGGGGCGTCTCTATGTCCAGCCCCAAGATCCCCCGTGGGACCCCACGCCAGAATCCTGGGGTCTTGTTCAAAAAATGCCAAACCAGGACGCCAGCCCCGGCCCTAGGGCTCAGCCTCCCTGGGAGTCTTGACCCCCCGTCTGCGCTATTGGGACGCACGCTGCAGAGCATACCATGCTCCGATGGTCTCCAGGCACAAGAGGAAACCCTTCAGGCTGCCTGTGTGACAATCCCCAAGGGGGGAGGGAGCTGTCTTCCTCTTCAAGGTGTCCCTGCTGTCCCCAGGGGACACCAGACCCCATTTCCAAGAACGAGACAGGGAGGCATTTCGTCTTGCCTGCCCATGTGCAGGAGCCAACGGCAGGCAGAGGCTGCTCACGCGGCGGGGAGGGAGGCTCAGGAGAAGTGTGAGCGCAGGAAGCTTGTGAATCAGCTGTCAAAGGTCAGGGCTGGGAAGCTGGGGCCGGGCTCCCACTGGCAGGGAGCTGAGACTCGCCACGCCTCCCCTCCCAGCCAGAGCCTCCCCCAGCCACCCTTGGCGCCCTGGGTGCAGGCTGTGGGGGCCCCGGGGCCTGGCGTCCCCTCGGGCCCCACACGGATCACAGGAGGAATACAAAGACCTGTTCAGGGAAAGGTTACAGTCAAAGAAGAGCAGATTATGCCTCCAACCAACCAGACAGGAACCAGGAAGTGAGCAGCCGACCCATAAGAACAGGGAAAGAAGGGGAGCCACGGGCGAAAGGCGGTGGTGGCAGGGACCACGCCTGCGACGGGCACGGAGGGCCGGGAGGTTTGCAGGTTTGAGGACGAGGCTGCAGGGGAAGCGGGCTCTGCTGAGCAAAGGATGCCAAAGCAAACAGACACCCACCGCAGACTCGCCTGGGGCCTCTGGGCGCCTGAGAATCAGACCTTTGTCAGGGCAAAGTGACGACCGGGAGGCCACACTCTCACCGGGGAAAAGGGCTCCAGAATCCCCAAGGGCTGTCCGGGCAGCACCCTGTCCTTTCAGGCCTCGGGTGTGCAACGTAAGCTTCTCTGGGCAGACCCTCTGCTTGTGGAGGTGCTGCAGGAACGGGTGGCCCGGGGGCGGAGGGCTGGGGGCGTGGGGTCTCCGGTTCCAGCTCAGCATTGGTAACCACCTGGCCTTGGTCTTCCCACCGGGAAAACGGGACTGAGGATTTGCCCAAACCTCCTCTAGAGGTTCCTTGGAGGACCCGATGCCGAAAGGCCCAGGAAGCGATCAAGGCCACACACAGCCCTCTGGGGTCCACTCTCAGAGCAGGGCATGACAAGCTCACGGGAACCCTAGGGGCAATGTCACCTTCATCTGGGGAGGGGGCTTGTGAATGCGGCCTGGGGCCCAAATTCAGCGCCCGTAGCCTTGGGTGAGAAGGATGCCCTTGCGGCCCACAGAGACCAGGGAATCCCCAAGCTGAGCTCGGACCCACAGCAGCAGCAAACCCAAGGGGCTTGCCCCACAGCCAGGGCGGAGGCAGAGTCAGGCGCCTGGGAGCCAGAAGGGACTTCAGAGGGCCAGTTAGGTCAGGGGTTTTTAAAACCTCTTAAAATCACAAGCAAAATCTTCCAGGGAAGTCCAGCCGGGAGGGCGTCTGTTTGCAGAGTCTCTGCCGATCGTCTGGGTCATCCAGTCCAGATGGGTGATAGACGGATGGTGACAGACACACCTCTATATTTGAGCCCCGGCTCTGGCTGGCGCCCCTCCCTACAGAGCGCCAAGGTTCCCCGGCCCGTCCCAAAGCCGGGCCCTGGAGTCTCCACGGATGCCACGGTGCAAACGTGGGCCGCGGTAAACCGGGCAGAATCACCGACACGTGTGACACGTGGCCACGCGTGAGGGTGCGAATGGCACTTCTGGACGGTTCGACCTGGGAGAGTGCGCGTCTAGGAGGAGCCGGAGCCCACGCTGTCCCAGGGGGTGGCGCTGGAGAGCGGCGGGCACGGCCACGCCACCCGCGCCACCAGGGGCCAGGGCGGGCATGGACCGGGGAGCCCCACGAACACAGGCGGGATGGGACGGCCGAGGGGCGTTTCTGACGAGGGCGAGCCAGTGCAAAGGGCTGGAGAAGCCGCCACCTTTCAGCAAGATGACGTCTGCCCTGCTGATGTCCTATCACCCTGGCATCCTCATCTCGGGGAAAATGACCACACGCCTAACACGTCCATCTTTGTGTCTTCCACTGACCAGCGCAGATGTGCCATTCCAGGGAAAACTGTGTCAAATAGGACTTCAAATCAATGTATTTTTGCATTTTCCATCTCATTTCAAGATTAAATATAAACTTTTTTGCGTTCACCTTGAAAACTGGGTCCTGGCTGAATGAAGTTGACTCGCTTTGAGATGATCTTCCTCGTTGGGGACACCTCTACCAGAGGGTTAGGTGTCGCACTCCCAGGAAGTGCACCATCCCTCCACCCCGCCTCCCCTGCAGGGCGATGAGGAAGCCCTCGCTGGCAGGGGGTTAGAACCCTCTCAGCCCTGACCCTCGGGGCAAGCCACACAGAGCTCTTCCTGAGCCGCTGAAAGGGCTCCTTCCTCCCCACTTTCCTGTCTGTGGACGTCGAATGACTACATGATACACTGCGTGGAAAGGCACCCACTCAGCCCCTAACGCGAGCTTCCCACCTGTCAGCTCTGTCTGTGCTCTGGGGCCACACGGACAGGAGGGCGGGGGTGCTGAGGACCTCAGCGCACGCCCCTCGGGGACCTCCTAGTGCGGCTGGTTGCCGAGATATTCAGACACCCAAGGCACTGACACCTTCCGGAATGTTCTCTCAGGAGTGGAGAGTTTGGGGTCAGGGTGCAAAGGAGCCTCTAGGTCTCCTACCCCCACGCCGAGCCCCCGAGTCTCTACCCAGGAGCTCGTGGGGACCCCGTGCCTGACCCCAGTCTGCCGGCTCTGGATCGAGCTTCTGGGGAGCGGGACCACCTCCCCCAAACCCAGCGCGTGCCCAGAACCAGCTCCCCAGAGTCACTCACCGATGTCTTTGGCTCTGACAGCCACCGGCCTTCGGAGCTCGGTGACAAACTTTTTGGCATCCAGGCGGATCTCGATGATGTTATTCAGCAGAGCGAAGAGCGGGGCCAGGGGGAAGGACGCGACGAACAAGGTGACAAAACCAAACTGGATGACTGCAAGGAGAGTAGGGTGGTCAGCATGCTACTGCGTGCCACGGCGGGTCCCCACATGCCACAAGCTGAACACATGGGTGGGCGGCGTCTGGCTGGCTCCCTGCCTCTGATGCACCCCTGTACCCGCATAAAAGGGACCCTGGGGATGCACCCACCATGACCCCAGGTGACCCTGGGCCAGGAGGGGGCTGTGGGGAACGTTCCAAATTTTGCTCTGGACCCCACTGTTGACTCCTGAATAACGAGCATGCAGTCACTTATCATACATCTAATCTTAGATAATCATCAGTGAGGGGGAAAAGGCCCCCATGAGCATGAAGGCCCAGCCTCGGTCACCCCATGCGGGGCTGGCAAGGATCTCAAGCAGCTGGGGGGCTCCTGGGGGGTTCCTGGGACCTGGGGGGCCTGCCAATATTGCTGCGTGTCCGTCGGGCCTCAGGGACGGAGCTGGGCGGGGCCCACTGTCCAGTGTCCCCTCTCGGACCACCCTCATCGTCACCAGGCCGGCCCTGGGGCTTGGACCTTGGATGCTGTGGCCGGCACAGAGCCGGGCTCCCGGGAGAGGTCAGGTAAAGGTTGCTGAACAGCATGGGGGAGGCGGGTTCAGGAACCGTACAGTCTGTCCCAGGGCTCTCGCTGCCTGCCAGGTGGTAAACAAGGAAGCCGGCAGAATGTCACCGTGTGCCTGGCGGGCTGAGTGTGGCCATTGTTAGAGCTGCCAGTGGGGGGCTCCGTGGGAGCCTCCATCTGGGAGCCGGGCCACTGGTTTCTCGCTCGCCCCGTCGGCCTCCGTGGGATGCTTCTGTGGACACGGTCGTGTCTGCAGACGGCTCTGGCGGGGATAGAGGCTTCGGATAAGCTTGGCTGTGGGCTCCACGTGGGCTCCTGAGGCCGTGGGGTCCCCACTCCCGAGTGGTGTGTGGACAGGCCGAGAAGCAGGGAGGGGAGCTGGAGATGGCCCGGGCCCGGGGCCCTCCCTGCTGCGCTTCTCTTCAGTCCCGGGCACTGTGCACTCCAGGCGCCCGGCAGAGTCGGTCCTCGAGGAGAGTGTCCTGAGCGGCGGGGTATGGCTGGGTCACGGGGTGGGCTGCTCCCTGGGTGGGCAGGGGCCTGTCCCAGGAGTCTCACCGCGCCCAACAGGAAAGCGGGATGCGACCTCCAGCCACTGTAGAAATTAAAATCGGGGGGGGGGGGCCTCTGTCTGCCAGCCAATCCCAGGCTGCTCTTCTGTGTCTGCCCTCCAACTGGCCTCAGGCAGGCAGGGGTGGCCTTCCTCCTGGACCCCAGGGCTGAGACCAGACAGCCAGGGAGGCAGCAGGCCCACGGGGCTCCATGGGGGTCCACGGGGGTGAGGGAGCTACCTGTCCACCGCTGGTTCACCTTGGATTTCGTTCCAGGAGAAAACAATGTCATCTGAACACGATGCTATTTCCATTTTTCAAAGTCTTAAGATTCTTTTCCTTCTGAGTCAACGGCAAGGTGCTTCTTGAACAATCATCTGGGATGCTGGGTGTGACTTCTATGGACCCACTGGGCCAGCAGGAGGGAAGTGCTCATGGTGCCACCCTGCCCCTTGACACTCAGAGGAGGCCTCGGGTTTGCTCAAGTATTTGTTAAAAGTGCAAGGTCCCAGGTCCCACCCTGCATAGATCAGGCGTGGGCCCCAGAGCCAGCATTTAAAATGTGCTGTCCATGGTGGCCGGGGGCCCTACACTTTGGGACCCCTCTGCGGGGGTCTTCTTGGCTTCCTTTGCTCATCCGTTCACTCAGCAAACATGTACTGAGCGCCAACGATATACCTAGATCTGTTCTAGGTGTAGGGGGTATGACAGTGAAGGGAAAAAAAGGTCCTGTTTTCACAGAACTTCCATTCTGCTGGGAGGTAGAGGTAAAGGTATATTGCAGGCTGGTGACGAGAATCGGAGCAGGGGGAGAGGCAGAGGGTCAGAGTGGTGCAGGGGAGGGGCTGCCCCTTTTAAACACCGTGGTCAGGAAGACCCCTCTGGAGGAGGACATCCTGAGCACAGCCCTGGAGAAAGGGAGAGAGTGAGTCATGCAGGTATTAGGGGGAGAGGATTCCAGGCAGGGCATAGCTAGTGCAAAGGCCCTGTGGCAGGCACGAGTTCTGGGAGTTTGGGTAACAGCAAGGAGGCCAGTGTGGCTGGAATGGTGGGAGGAGGTGAGGAGAGGGAGGAGGTGGGGTTGGGGGGTTCCAGGTGGCCATGCGAGCTGCACCTGCCCTATCTCCCTCCTCTCTGGTGTACCCCACTGAGAGTGGTGGGCCAGCTCTGGGCATCCTCCTGTCCAGCGACATAGTTGCTGGTGCCAAGGCTCAATCCCTGGGTATCTCCTGAGCACCTGCCTGTGCAAGGGGCTGCAGCCAGCCCCAGCCCGAAGATGGGACCCCTCCGGCCACCACTCACTCATCTCCATGTACTCTGGGGTGAGGCCCGCGAAGGGCTCCAGCGTGTAGTCCACCTCATAGCGCTGCTTTCTCTTCACGAACTCATCGTGGTCAGAGGGACTCTGGCGCCTCAGCCTCAGATAGCGGATGAACTTCTTCATTTTCCTGCGGGAAACACAGTGTCACTTCAGTTGGGGGTCTGGGAAGATGGGCGCTAGGGCCCCTCTCCTCCAAGTTGTGTTTCTAATTCTCTGAGCCGGACTTCTCTGGCGCTGATCTCCTGTGCTCTCCCCCCAGAGGCAGGGGTCAAGTGTCATCATTTGGTTTTTGACATAAGGAAACAGGTACAGGGAGAGCCAACAGGGTCAGGGGTCAGGTAGGCCCAAGCAGACGCAGTGGTTTGGGGCGGGGTGGGGATCATTCCAGCGGGCTGGCTGCCTTGGAGGGGGGTCAGGACACGATTCTCAAAGGGCACAAGGTCAGGAAGCAGAGCCTCTAGGTGCTCCATCTGCCAACCCAGGGGGCTGGCATGCGTGTCTCAGGGTGCCTGTCAGGACCCCGCATCCTCAGCCTGCCGCAGAGCAGGGGGTCATCTGGGCCCCCATCAGCTCCTCGTGCACCATGGGGTGGCCATACCCTGCCTTCCCCTCGTGTTCCCACCCCCTCCCCGCTGCTGGTGCCCCATCCTGGCCCAGGTCCCACCTCACCTGTCCCCCAGACCACCACAAGAGCCCTCTGGGCACCCCAGGGCCCCATCTCCCCCTTGCTCCACTGGAACCCGAGGCCAGACGTTACTCACGGGATGCCGATCTCAAACAGGTTGTTCTGGATGAGCTGCTTGCCCAGCATGATGATGCTGAGCTGGATACAGAGCTCCATCAGGCAGCCCCCCGGGGCACACTGTGGGACAGAGAGCAGGTGCATCAGACCCTGGCCCTGGCCCATGGTGGACACCTGAAGAGATGACCGCAGCTCCCAGCGAGGGGAGGTCAGCCCTGGTGCTGCAGGTTGAATGTGGCCTCTACAAAGACATGTCTCCATCCTAACCCCCAGAACCACAGAATATGACCTTAGTTGTAAAAAGGTCTTTGCAGATGTGACCGAGTTAAGACGAGGTCATACTGGAGCAGGGTGGACCCTGAAGCAGTGACTGGGGTCCTTATAAGGAGAGGAAACGCACAGACACAGAGAAGAGAAGGTTGTGCAAAGACAGAGGCAGAGATTGGAGGGCCCTGGCCAGAAGCAAGGCCCGCCAAGGATGCCGGCAGCCCTCAGAAGCCAGGAGCGAGGCCCGAGGAACCTCCCCTGAGCCTTCGAAGGGAGTGCAGCCCTGCTGGCTCCTTGATTTTGGACTTTCGGCCCCCAGAACAGTAAGAGAATATGTTTCTGTTGCTCTAGGCCGCCTGCTCTGGGGTGTTTTGTTACAGCGTTCCCAGGAAGCTACTGCACCTTGCCTGCAGGCTGTCAGGGCTGGAAGGAGGCTCAGAGAGAGGGCGCTTTGCCAGGAGTGAGCAGGGGTGGGGCTGGATCTAGGGGCTCCTCCTTCTCCCCCAGGGCCGCTGCCCAGTCCCGCGCACTGCTGCCTATCCACGGGCCTGTGCGGTTGGGAAGCCACATGGTGAGGTGGCTAGCCACCCCTCCGAGGCTTAACGTCCCTGTCCTTGGAGGGCTTGCACCCCCTGCCTGAGGCTGGGTGTGGGCAGGCACGGGACGGGCCAGAGGCTTAACTTGCCCGAGTGACTGGAGATCAAGGGACATTGGGTGTCCCTCTGGGGACAGCTGACCCCTCTACGGGACAGAACAAAACTTTTTATATTGTTAGCACAAATTTCATGTTGGAAAGCCGCCATTTCATTAAAAAAAATGATGTCCTCTGCTTTATTCTATTTTACAAAGGCATTTCCCCATTGTCTCTAATCATTAAAGAATCTGACATAGTATTGTTTACAGAAAGGCCAAGATAACATAACGGGAGAGCACTTCATGGCTTCTTGCAAACATCTGTTCCTGTGGGTAAGGCTCATGTCTTGGGATGTTCAGGGGCTGTCACCCAGGGGCTTGAACCTCTTGGCTGTGCCTTGGGCAGCCAGATCACCCTGTACCTGAAGCCCACCCCAATCCTCTCTACCCCATTTCACAGGGTCTTTATCAGAAGACCTGCCCCTTGTTTTCCAGTAAGCTGAATTACTCCGGGTGTTGGCAATGCTGACTGGTTCCCCTGAGACCTGACGCCCTGGCAGCCCCGAAGCCCTGGCTTGGTCTGGCGGGGCCGTTGGAGCAAGTCCAGTGGCTGGTGCACTAACCAGACCCACAGTGGCTGCAGAGGCTGAGCAGAAGCCAAAGGTCACCAGCACTGATTTAGGGGGAGACAAGCAGGCTTTTCCCTGTTACAGTAAAAGAACGAAGCTGAGTTCTGTCTTGTCCTCATTAATCCATCTTAATGAAAAAGAAAAAAAAACACTTAAGATCTTATAGAAAATGAAAAAAATCAAACGGGTCAGTCTACAGTTTCGGTGAGTCTGGAGAGACTTTCTCCTTTCAGGGTAACGCTATATGGACGCGCCAAATAAGATCAGAGCCCCGCCCCAGCAGCAGGTCAGCAGCCGAGGAGGGAGACGCTAGTCCGTGACGTCTGCTTCTCCCAAGTCTGCTGTGTGGACGGACCTGGGAAAGCAGGACGGGAGCACATGCTCACCTCTTCCATCCGGAAAGAACGGAAAATGTACACGTAGTCGCCCGGGCGTCCGACGAACCTGCAACGAGCGGGGGCAGTGGGAGGGGAGGGGCAGCGCAGGGAGACCCCGAGGTGGGGGCTGCAGTCAGCTCAGCGCGCCCCCAGGCTTCCAGCGCCTGAGACACGACCACTGTGGGTGCTGTCGGCGTGTGTTCCGGGGGCTTGTCCCCAGACAAGACAGGACCTCAGCAGGAAGCCAAGAGAGAAGGGGGCCGGGGTGGCGGCGGCGGGCGTGGGGACCGAGGCAAAGCTGCCCAGTACAGACCACGCCACCTGCCACGGCCTCGTCAGGCTGGGGAGGGGTAGAGACCTCTGAGGGCCTGCTCCGTGGTTATGGATGATCTCGGGGGGCTCTGGGGCCCTGGTGTGGGAGGATGGCCACTAAATCACATGATGCTGAGGAAGAAGCCTTCAGAGGGGTTCTGGGATCAGACCTGCTAGCCCCAGGCAGGAACGGTGATGGGGAGTCTTGGTGGGTGGGCCACAAGCCCCTCCAAGCCCAGGGCGGCTCAGAGGGTCCGGGCATGGAGTTTACCCCACCACTAGCCTGGAACACCAAGCTGGCCATGGCTGCGCCGTTTTACCTACTCCTGGGCCCTAATCCCCTTCATCCATCCCACCCTACTGACGGGGTCCCCGTTGCTCTGGCCCCCCTGTAGAAGCCAGGCCCCTCCACGAGCTCAGTGTTAGTGGGAGCCACTCTGAAAGCTCTGCCCTGTGCCCAGGGCCTCCCAGCTGCTGGGAGATGGGGAGGAGAGCCTTCTACTGCCCCGGGAGGAACAAGGTGGGAAACACAGTGAGTTTCAGTAACTGCGGTCCCTACCTCCCTTTGAAGAAAGCCACGTAAAAGATGGGGGTGTAGGAATTCACAAACTTCAGCAGGAAAGCCTTGAAGATCAGCCTCTCCTCGAAGCTCTTCTCCGTCTTTGGAACCTCTAGAAGGAGTGAGATGCACGTGACCATGTACTCAGCTCTCGCGGGAAGGAAGCTCAGAGAAGGTAAGTGAGCAGCCCAAGGCCCCACACTAGGGAGGCGCACTCACCAATCTTGGTGAGCCAGCGGGCTATGCAGCCGTAGACCTCGTCCAGCAGGATGATGACCACCAGGTTGATGATGACTGCGGTGGCTGTGACCGTGACCCGGATGTTGGACCGCACGGATGGGGAGGAGTTCATGGCCAAGGCAGCGGCTGTGGAGATCCTATAGATGATGACTCCCAGGACGATGGCGAAGGTCACTGCAATCTGCAGAGGGAGAAGGGCCGGTCAGGTCCGATCAGAAGCCCCTGAGCCCAGTGAGCCCAGCTCCCCCCGACCCTGCAGCAATTTGGCTCCAACACGGACGGGGCTCTGGGATTGACCAGGTGAGTACACCGATTCTGACATGCCCAGATCTCTGCTGTCCCCTGCTGCAGGGCACCATGCCTTCTCTCCTGCCCCCTGACTCCAACAGGGCACCGAGTGGCCGAAACCCGAGGGACTGGCCTGGCTTGTGTGAGTTAGGCTGACTCTGGCGGGGAGGGGTTCTCCCCAAAACATGGGTGGCCCTGAGCGGGAGGAGTGCTGTTCTGGAGGTGGGTGGGCGTGGGCAGGGCTGCAGGCCTGGCTGGGACAGACAGCTGGAGCCCCTTCTCCCAATTTCTTCACGAACCACCCACACACCTGGCTCATCGTTCATCTGGCCAAACCCACCGGTGGACCAGAACATTCCATAAAGCTCGGGCTGGTGGCTACCTGGGAGACTGGGGTGGGCTCTGGCTCGGCTGGAGAGTTGATTCTGTGCAGAGCGATCTGTCTGCCTGGGTTTCTTCTCCTTTTCCTCAAAGGCCCTAACTCACGGAGACGACCTCGTCCTCACACGGTCCCGCACTGGGGTGTGGACGCGGGCAGATCCCAACCCCAGGACGCACTGAGGACGGAGGCTGGCTGTGCCCGGCTGTCACTCACGCCCGACTCCAGCACAGGCCAGGCTCCGTGCTCCTTCCAGTCCCGTGTGACCTGTGTCACTTCCTCCCATTTGGGGTGCGGAGAGCAGGCCCTGCCCTGCTAGGATGTTCCCTCACGGCTCCCGGGACGCTCCTGCTGCAGCGTGGGCCTGCGCTGCGTCTCAGGTCACAGCTTGGAAAGACCGTGGCTGCCTCAGCCCCGGAGGAGACTGCAGCCATCAGAAGTCTAGGAAAGCTCCTGTTTTAGACTTGGGGCCGGTCCCTCCGCTTCTGCCCACATCTGTGGGTGCCTGACGGGGGCCACACCCCATTCAGGAAGCTCAGCCAGCCCAGCCATACCCTGACCACACTCCCTGGCCAGCTCCGGGAATGAGGGCTTTCCTTGGAAACTCCCTCGCTCCTGCCAAGGGGCCCCTCCCAGGGGACGGCACCACCCCAGCCTCAGAGCCGGCCTCGCGCCAGCACGCGGACGTACAGACGGGAGGCCGGCCCGCGAGGTGACTCAGTAAGGAGGGTGTCCCCTGCTTCCTGCCAGACGGCGGGTGCGCCCCCATGACAGGCGAGACCTCCAGTGGGCAATGCCCCCTCTGGATTAAAAGGGCCTCAGGGGTCTGGCTGGTGGGTTCACCCTGGTGTTCCCAGGACAAGGAACACGGCGGGGGGAGCATTGTAGGTGCTCAACCAGTATTTGCTCAGCGAATGAAGCTCCTGGCAGGGGGCAGTGAGGGGGGCAGAGCTGTGACTGATTCATCCGTGAGGGAAAACCAAGACAAGCCCCCGCCTCCGGTGGAGTTCGCACAGAGCAGTGCGGCCCTCGGGGCAGAGGCCACCACCTCCAACCTGGTGGCCCGGGGAGAGGGGCCAGACCTGCGCCTGTCTCCTCATCAGCAGGAGGGGGTGGGATCGGGATTGTGAGGGCTCAGGCCCTGGTTCACGGCGGCCAACCTCAGGCCCTGGGTACCAGGCCACAGGACTGGGGGGCCATGCGGGACTCTAACTTAAAGCTCCCAGGCTGGACAAGGGGCCGGTCATTTTTACAGACACCCTGGAGTCCCTACAGACTCCTTGGCCCCTTCCCATTTTAGTGGAACCTCCCCCTACCCCACAGCCTAGGATGAGAGCCAGTGTCACGATGACATCCGACTCTGGTCTAGGTGAGCAGTACACCGTCTCCCCGTGGGCTGCCCTGATCTCTCCCACCTCAGCCTTCCGGAACTTACCATGAAGACAATGGAGACCAAGTTGGTGAAGTAGGCTGGGAACCGGTCTCTCCAGGTCAGCTTCACCTTGTCTGTCTGCAACACGAAACGACGTCGGGTCACCTGGCGGGACCCGTCACGGTGGAGAGAAGTCTGTGTGCACGTGGGAGGGCGTGCGGGTGCACGACTCGGACAACAGAAACACTCAGAAACACCTTTACGCAAACACGCCCGCAGGTGACGAGTGAAAGCACACATCTAGCATCCAGGGAAGGGTCTGGGGTCTCATCACCCATCACATGACGCCAGGGAACAGTAGCAATACGCGTTTGCAAACGTGACTCCTCTGTGTCCCTGGCATCACAGTGCCAAACGCTTTCCTAAATCCGACCGTTAGCCCCGCGCCTGGGGGGACGCCTGCGTCCGGCCCGAGCCTCGCCTGAAGGCTGGAAGATCCGAGATCTTTTTGCCCTCTGCCACCCAGACCATAATAGTTATTTTTCCTGCGCGGGGCAAGCTGAAACAAGCAACTAGCGTTACAAGTTAAAACGCCGATTGCTGCGTAGCAATGATCTTTCCAGAATGAATGGGGGTGGATGTTTAAACGGGGAGATGCACGCGTTAGGACAGAGAACGCGGACGAGGGCGGCACCCCGGAGGCCACTCATTCCAGGGGCCGGTGGCATGCGTGTCAGCGGGAAGCCCGAGAAGCACGCGCAGGCAGGCGCGACAAGCACGTCTCACGAGCTCCCCTCCCCCCGCCCCTGCCCCCACGGGCCCACAGAAGCCATGCAGTGACATCTCGGCACACGTCGCGGCTCCACGGGTGTCGCAGGAAGGCAAAGAAGCGTGGACGTGGATGTTAAAAAAATAATACGACACTCAGAGTTTGTTGAGGAAAAAACACAAGGGACTTTGATCGTCTGCAAACAGTCAAGACTCGCGTTGCCCCCGAAAGAGAAAAGTACCAATTTCACCCCCGCCATGGCGGTCTTAACCCTCTGCCTCCATTTGTTTGTTGACTCCTCTGGAATATGCCGGCGCTTCTGAGGGCGGGTGGAGGGAACAAGAGAGCACCGTGGGGTGACGCGTGCCGAGGCTCGGGAGCCGCGGGGCCCGGGCGTGTCCCCGTGGCCGCGGGCCCGCCCTCGCTGCGCTGGCCGCCAAGGCCAACACGGGTTGCGGGTGTTTGAAACCCATGGGAGATGGCAGACGCCCACGTTCTAAAGGAAGGGGGACGCAAAGGTCTGGGAACGGGACACGGGGCTTTTGAGGCCGACTCCCCCCGGGGAAAGGCTTGGCGGGGCTCTGAACCGCCCCCGTGAGGAGGCCACTGTGATCGCGAGGGTGCGTATCACACCAACACGGAGGACGCCACGCCCAGAAGTGCAGGTTCATGTGCCAGTTAAGGCGGGGGTCTCCTCTTTTGCAACTGAATTGGGTGCCATTGCCAGGGGAAAAAGTAAAGCCAAAAACTAAAGCTGGGAGCCAAGTGACACAGAGGAGGAGATGAGGGGTACGGCCCACCAGATGCCCCCAGAGGACGGCACAAAGGAACCTCGTACCCTTGTTGCTCTGGTAATCACAGCCGAGAGGTGGGGTGGCAGAGCCTGGGGGGTGCGCCTGGCACGGCTGGCCAGATGCGCTATTTGGGCTTGGTTAGGGTCTGGACTTAAATGGACCGACATGTGTCACAAAGCCTTCTTCTCCTCAGGGAATAATGAAATACTCATCCATGCTCACGCAAAGGGGAGCCCACAAAGGCACAGGGTGGACTGTCTTAGGGGCCGTATATCCTGACACAGGCTGGGGGCAGAGGATGCCGCATTGGACACAGGTCTTAGTGGCCCACAGGGGAGGCCTGCAGGACTTCTAGGAGGTGCTGTCCACGCCTTTCCCTTTGGGAGGACGAATAAGGTCCAGAGGGTCTAACAGGGTGGTCCAAGGCCGCTGGGTGCCTGCTCAGGAGGCAGCGTGCACGGGGATGGGCGGCTGTTCATGCTTTGTTGTTGTTTGCAGCCTTGAGTCCCACTCAGACTCTTAAGATGCTGTTTAGGGAGGTGTACCCCCTTCCTGGCTGCAGCAGGACGAAGCTGGATTTTTGCCATGTCCCAGGAGCTGGGGCCGGAGAGGGAGTTTGCAGTTTACCCACTTTATCCCTCAGATGGGATTTTGGCAATTGCAATCCTTGCCCACTTGGAACTAGCAAACCCTGCCCGTGTGCCACAGTAATAAGAAAGATAAACCCAGGGGTTTGCCTGGTCAGCCCCAGAGGCTGAGGTGTGAATGTGAACATGGGTGGGGAGGCTGCTCAGGGAGCGTGTTTCCCACCCTTCAAGGACTGACACAAACCTCCCCAGCCTTCGGTAGAGGCTGCCGGAGGCCAGGGCGCTCCATGCTTGTCCCAGGGCATATAAAACACCTCCATTAAAAACATCTAGAGGTTTGCCAGAATTTAGGCCGTGAACATAAGACAGCCAATTTGAATGAGAGGTTTGGGGAGAAAGAAAATCACTTATAAAAAGATGGTGATCTTCAGAACATCACAAAACATTTCCCTCTCATTCCCACATCCCTGAGGGAAACAAGGAGTTGGCCATTTGCTCAGGGACCTGGTGGGGCAGACCAGGTTGGCAAACAATTCAACATCAAACACAAGGGGTGGACATAATAAAATGTCAAGTGTCCTGTGAAAAAACTGCAAAGCTACCTGGTTCTTGATGGTGAAATGTTGGCTGAGGTTTGAGATATCCTCAGGACAGATCAAGAAGAGAGACCCATAGCACAGCTGGACAAACTTCAGCCTGTGGGCCACACCTGGCCCCTTACTTGTTTTTATAGATAAAGTTTTATTGGAACACAAGCAGGGCCATTTGTTTACCTGCTGTCTATGGCTGCTCTCGAGCTACTGAAAGAATTGAGTAGTTGTGACAGAGGCCTACAGACTCAGATATTTATGCTCTGGCCCCTGTCTGGGGGCTGGCCCCTGACCTATACTGTTGATGAGCACACAGTGTTTGCTGAGCCCCTGGCCTATACTGTTAATGTGCACAATATTTGCCGAGCCCCTGGTCTATACCGTTGCGTGCACACAGAGTTTACCGAGCCCCTGGTCTATACCACTGATGTGCACACAGTGTTTGCCGAGCCCCTGGTCTATACTGTTGTGTGTACATAGTGTTTGCTGAGCCCTGGTCTATACTGTTGTGTGCACATAGTGTTTGCCGAGCCCCTGGTCTATACCACTGATGTGCACACAGTGTTTGCAAAGCCCTGGCCTATACTGTTGCATGCACACAGTGTTTGCTGAGCCCCTGGTCTATACTGTTGCATGCACATAGTGTTTGCTGAGCCCTGGTCTATACTGTTGCGTGCACACAGTGTTTGCTGAGCCCTGGTCTATACTGTTGTGTGCACATACTGTTTGCTGAGCCCCTGGTCTATACCGTTGTGTGCACACAGTGTTTGCCAAGCCCTGGTCTATACTGTTGTGTGCACATAGTGTTTGCTGAGCCCCTGGTCTATACTGTTGTGTGCACTTAGTGTTTGCTGAGCCCTGGTCTATACTGTTGCGTGCTCATAGTGTTTCCTGAGCCCTGGTCTATACTGTTGCATGCACACAGTGTTTGCCGAGCCCTGGTCTATACTGTTGCATGCACATAGTGTTTGCTGAGCCCTGGTCTATACTGTTGTGTGCATATACTGTTTGCCGAGCCCCTGGTCTATACCGTTGTGTGTACACAGTGTTTGCTGAGCCCCTGGTCTATACTGTTGTGTGCATACAATGTTTTATTGCTGGGAAAGCCAACTGGCAATGGCCACCATACCTCTTTGTTTTTGGATTCTTTCCTAAGCGACTTTTCCAAAACTCTGGCTTCATATTCGGCTCTGGGATGGTCCTGTGAAGAAACCAAGTCAACGAGAAGCCTTGTTAAGTGTGAGTCTAAGGCCCTCGACATAAGCACACATGACAAATTCAGTCCTTACACTGGCCCTGGGCACCCTCTGGGGGGCAGTTCGTAGCTGGCTGCTTGTACATTTCCAATTTAGAACCCCCCCGTCCAAGGCCTGTCCAGGATTCTCTCCCTGGCTGGGAACCCCAGCCCATTGGCATCCGTGTCCTGGAGGCAGGTAGTCTGTGTGAGGCTGCCGCCTGCCCTGCCTCCCACTTTCTCATGGTGAACACCCAGCCATGAACTGGCCCCCGAGAATGTTCTATCAGAAGCTGTGGGGGTCGAAGAGATGCCAGTAAGTGTCAGCGAGCGCGGGCAGACCAGAGGCGCCAGGCCTCGGGGGAGCCCAGAGCACGTCAGCGAAAGGCGCTGGAACAGAAGAACGAGGGATACGAGAGGCCCAGAGGTGGGGGAGGAAGCAGAGACCCCTGCCCGTGGTGGAAGAGCTGCAGGGAGCCGCGCGGCACAGACAGACGGGTCAGTGTGCGAGAAGGCCCCTCTCCTAGGGAGACAGGCTACAGGAAGATAGAGGAGTGACAAAAAATCCAAACCTTGACAGCCTCCTTTGGGGAACCAGGACGTAAAAACAAAAACAAAAAGATTTCATTACTTTGTGTTGTTTTTGTAAGAAATAGGCTGCATCCTCTAGAGATCATTTTCTTAAGAACTAGGAAGAAGGTGGATGGACACAGGGACAAGGTAGACGTGGGGAACCAGGACCGGCTGAAGTCACCATTGCGTGGGTCACGTTTGCGGCTCGTGGGGTTTTGGAGGCCCCCCAAGGGCGTGATGAGTGAGACTCAGGGAAAGGGCCCATAGGCCGGCCCACTGGACACAGGCTTCCCTCTGCGCCAGGCACCAGCCCCGGGGTCAGACTCCGGGAGGCTTCCCCTCAGTCACCAGCTCCCCAAGGAGGCCCTGGCCAGCCACGAGGGGCAGGAGGCTCACTCGGGGGACTCACCGGGGCCCGCCAGGGACCCATGTCCAACAGCTCTGATCACCACCCCGAAACCAAGAGCCTGAGCCGTCACGGGGAGGAGATCCTGGGATGGGTTCCCAGGGGGTTAAACAAAGGGGACCCCCCCGCCCCGACCACATGGTGGAAAGGACATTCTAAATCTTCTAAAATAATAAGATGACTGCTTATTGTTTTACTTGAATCTTTCTAATAGAAACAGTTACAGGGAAGGTGGCTTGGCCAGGTGGATGGCTGACCCAGACCGGGCCCTGGGGGCAGAGCGTTGGGGTCTGTGCGTGGCCACACCCCTAAAGAGCTGCCCGCAGGTGGGCATGGGCGGATGCAGCCACCTGTGGATCGGGACAGTGGGACCTGCTGTGGATGAAGTTTGCGCCCGGAGGTGGCTAGCTGGGTGACCTGTCTGGGGCATTGGCTGCTGCTGGGCCCTGCTCCTGACCTACTGACCCTTTAAGAGCCCCTCAAGCCCCATCAAGTAAAGACTAGGAGAGGCGAGGACACTGAGGCCCAGAGGCTTGCCCCAGGTCACATGGCGAGGGTGGTGGCAATTCGGGATGGGACTCTGCAGCCTGGCCCCCGAGATCTGTCGTCGCTAAGTTGCTGCGCCTCTCACGGCAGACCCTCGCCCCCTCGTCCATGTACGACACTGTCAGGACAGAGCCTGCACATTGGCTTCCTGGGTGGACGAGTGCCCGGCCCTTCAGTCCCAGGAGGGAACGTGTCGTGGGGGGCCATGCAAGAGGAAGGTGAAAAAAATCAGTGGAAGAGATTTCCATGTCACGATGAAAGCGCCCAAGAGCTTTCTTCAAAAAAAAAAAAAAAAATGGGGCGCCTGGGTGGCTCAGTTGGTTAAGCGACTGCCTTCGGCTCAGGTCATGATCCTAGAGTCCCAGGATCGAGTCCCGCATCGGGCTCCCTGCTCGGCGGGGAGCCTGCTTCTCCCTCTGACCCTCCCCCATCTCGTGCTCTCTCTCTCTGTCTCATTCTCTCAAATAAATAAATAAAATCTTTAAAAAAAAAAAAAAAGCATGGGTGGGGCACCCGGCTGGCTCAGTTGGTGGAATGTGCGGCTCTTGATCTCAGGGTTGAGAGTTTGAGCCCCATGCTTGGGGTAGAGCTAACTTAAAAAAATAAAAAATAAGCATGTGCTTTATAAAAGTAAGTAGAAGCCAGGGGGCCACCCCCGACGGCTCTGCTCTGTGCCGCGGGCGGTCTTCCTCCTTATTCCCTCCCACCCCCGGGAATCCCGGCTGGAGCTGGTGGTTTGGGGGTGGGGCAGTGGCAAGGCTTCTCCCGAGGGGCCCTGGGGCCGGGGTCCCCCCGCCAGCCCTATGGCCACTCGCTCCTGGACGTCCTTCTCCTTGGCACACATAGACACGCAGCACCTGGCTGCCCTCCTCTTAGGAAGGCCTCGCTCCCACTTCCCCACCAGGCCCGACTGCAGGCGGAGAGCGGGCTCTGGGGCGCGGGCGCGGCACCCGGGGCAAAGGCCGATGGCCACCTCGAGGCCTTGGCCTTGGGGGTGGCAGCGGTCCCCTCCCAGACCCCCCAGGCTGCGCCAGATGTGCAGGGGTCTGCGCGGGGAGTCTGGGCACGCGTCCACAGGAGCTTCAAGATCCAAGACTCCAGCAGACCCCCAAAAGATCACCCTGGCAGCGGCCAGTGACTGAGTACCAGGGGGACGGGGCAGGGCACAGGGAGCGCGGGGACCAGCCTGCTCACCTCCTCCTCCTCGAAGCCCGTGAGGTCCCAGTGGTACCTGAGCCGCATCTGTTTCCGCTTCCAGTGCTCCATGAAGGTGGCAGCTGTAGGCGGGAGGAAGAGTAAAGTTACCCAGGACAGGAGGGCACTCTCGTCTATGGCACTGTCCAGGCTGTGAGGTACTGACATGCCCGACCAAGAACTTCACACCAGTCCGCCTGTTCTGCCCTCCTGCAGACACCATGGGATAGGGACACTCACCTTCCCATTTTACAGATGAAGAAACTGAGGCCCAAGGTCATCAAGTCCCGGCCAAGTTTACTCAGCCAGCCGGTGAGGGGCCAGGCAGCCTGGTCCCAGAGCTCGTGCTCCTAACATCCTGCTCCATCAATCTTGAGGACCCCAGGACACAAGTGGGGGTCCTGAGGTCACAAAGGGCGAGGCATGGGCCAAGGCTGCTCACTCAAGCTTCAAATCCCCGCGGACAGTCTGGCTGCTGAGCTGTACTCTTAGCCGCTACGTCCTGCTTCGTATCCTCAATAGACTCAACATAGTTCAAATGCTGCCTCCTCCAGGAAGCCCCCGATCATCCCCCTCAGTGTCAGGAAAAAACCTGACTCCTCTTGGGACCTCGCTCACTCATGCTGTCCCCTCTCCCGGTACAGGGGCCCTTCTGGTGTGTGGGGCGGGGATGCTGCCTCATCCATCTGGATTCCCAGCACACGGCCCAGCAAAGACAGGTGCTAGGAGTGCTCACCGGATGAACGAACGGCTCTCGTGAGCACACAACCACGGAGATGCAACTGGCCGAACTGGTGAATATTAAGGCTCCCCCGCCCGAGGGACAATCGGCAGAGGCTGAGCGTGGGGGGTCAGGTGCTATCGTTCAAGAGAGCTCAGGGCCCCTGGGCGGGTAGGTGCCCACACCGTTGGAAGAGCTGTCACCTGATCTTACTGAAACCTCACAGTCATGGGAGGAGCAATCGAATGGCTTGTCTGACAAGCGGTGGCGTCAAGATGGAACGAGAGCCCAGCAGCAGGGTCTGTCACCAGGAGAGGGTGCAGCTTTGGAACGGGCAAGAAGTGCGTCTGAGTCTGGCTCATCTCTGGGCTCAGCTTCCGCCGGTCCGAATTGCCCCCCTCCCCGTGAAGGAGAGGTGCCAACAGGGCCCCGGAGATCGCCTGTCTTTGGGGACAGCGGGCGCACCCGAAGTATGAGCCACCCAGCCAGCCGGGCCGGCCAGGGAACGGCAGCCTCTCTAGGTCTTTCGAGCGGGGGTGATTGAATCCTGGGGACTGGCTGCCCCGGCCGTGCAGCGGGGGAGAAGCCAGGTTGGATGGAGAGAGGGCCGGGGATTAGGGAGAGCAGGAGGCCAGTGCCGATGCCGGGTGCCGGGACACGGTACACCGGAGCCAGGCGAAGCGAGGGCCTTCCTGTGGGTTACGGGCTTGGCGAAGACTCCGCCAGAGAGGCCGGAAAACGGGGAGGTGGGGAGAGGTGCCCTGGTCCTCCCCTCGGTCGCCCTCTGACCTCCCACCAGCCTTCCCGTTGGCAGAACCTGCCAGGAAATGGGAAAGCAAGGGAGCAGGGAGGCAGCTCCGCGGGGTTCAAATGCGCACTCAGCAGACAGGCACCGAGCAGGAGTGCCGTGGGGAGCACGGCAGCGGGGCCAGACGCCCGCCGTGGAGAAGCCAGGCCCGGGAGCAGGCCGCTCTGCGGCCGCACCACCTCCCAAGGAGCGGGACACGAGGGGGTTTCCTCGGCCTCTTCCCACATGTCCTCCGGCCACCGCGGTGGATAGAAGAGGTTGGCCTGACCCCTGTTCTGGATGGCACCTCCCGCCTTCTCTCTGTCCTGGCCTTGCCGGCCCCGGGCAGCACCTCTTCTCAGTCCTGGGGCCGAGCGAGAGCGGGAAGGTGTGGGAGGGCTGACTGCACACACCCAGGGGTTGGCCTGTTTACCTGCCGTGTCTCTGCCTCCCGTGTCCTCCCCCTTCCCTGGCGGGCCCATCCCCACCTCCATCTCCAGGGCCACCTGCCCTCCCCTCAGCCGCCCGCGGTGTGACAACACAGCTACCTTGTAATGAGGACTCGCCACGGGCCGCGCTCTTGCTCGGGATTCATGGACGTGGGCAACCTGACCCTTGCCACGATGCTATGCAGTAGGGAGGATTTCTGCTCATGGATTTACAAGCGACCCCCGAGACTCAGGTTAAATGCCACGCCCGAGATCAACTGAAGGTTAAGAGCAGGACTGGGATCTGAGCCGAATTCCATTTGGCCCCAGAGCTTACACTTAACCACTGTACTGACCGGCCCTCCATACGGATACTTGATGTTCTTTAAGGGAATAATAACCACAGTCATACTAAGTAGTCGGACGATTAGAGCAAACCTGTATTGCCATTTAATGGACGAGGAAAGGGAGGCACAGAGTTTGACTACGTTGCCCAAGGTCCCACAGCTGGGCAGCCGCTCTTCGATCCCAGGCATGCTTGCTTAGAATGTGCACTGTGAATCTTAAGGCAGATACGGGGACCCTCTCCCAGAGGGATCTGTGCCAAGGACTAAGACTGGAGCCTGGTGGCCAGGAGTGGAGGTGGTACACGGCCAAGCCTCATTTGGCTTGATTGTGTTTAAGAAATAAAGATCTGTTATATAAAGTAATTAATTTTCTGCTTCTTTAAAAATTGGAAGCATTGGTACTGGAAGGCTGGAGCAGAGGAGAAACCCTCTGTGTGTCACGGTTCAGGGGCACCTTCTCCGCCTGGCCACAGACCCCACCACGCCCCACTGACGGACTCCGTGGCACCAAGTTTGCACACCTGCTCTGGAGTAAAGGGGTCCAGTCATGGAGCTCAGGCTTGGCCAGCAGGAGTGGAGATGTGAAGGCTCATGCTGAGCCCAGGGGGCAGGCCCCGTGTCTCAGCTCAAAAAGCATCATGAGCAACGGGGCTGGGTAAAGGCAGGAGGAAGCGCAAGCGTCCGTGTGTCTGTCCTTTGCAACTGCGCTCCTGCGCCCCCACCCCCATACCAACCACGTGGACGGCGGTGGGTCCTGCAGGTTTCCTCGTTTTCCTTGGAGGCCCTGCCGGCGGGTTGCTTCTGCACGCCCCCTCTCTTTCCACCCCAGCCTCAGGCCCTCCATGTAGGGATAACCTACTCCTTTCTACAGATGCATAAACTGAAGCTCTGAGCAATCAGGTGACCAACTAACAAGTAGCAGAAAGCTGGACCCAGGACTTCCGGTACCAGGACTGGCCAGGGCCAGGGTGGTGGCATTCCCCCCACTGAGGGCAAGCTGTGTGCCAAGCCTGGTCAGCGTACAGAAGAAACAGCCTCGATGACCACAGAGACAAGGCCGGGGCCCCCGAATCCAGAGCCCAGCAGGCAGCAGAGCACAGACACCTACAAGGAAGTCCGGGCCAGGGCGGAAGCAGGTGGTTGAGCTATAATTCTTCTTTCCTCAAATATCTGTCTCAACAACACAATGTTAGACAAACACTTTCTTGTAGGGCAGCTCAGAGGCAGCAGGTGGGAGCGCCGGACTCTGGGTCGACCCTGGATCACGTCCAGGTGTGGGCTCGGGCACGTGACCACCCGGCCTCTGCAGCCCCCGGCGCCCCGTCGGCACAGGCCAGGGCACCACACGGGCCAACCCGCAGCGGCACCTGGGGGCCCCACGGAGGCGCATTCCTCGGACCTGGCTCCCGTGGAAGGATCTCTCCCGGGTCTGGTTAAGAGGCTGACCGTAGGATAAAGGGCCACGCGGGGTGTGGTTCCATCGATGTGGAGCACCCAGAGTTTCCTGGTAAGTCCACCGAGACAGGCCTGGGGCAGAGGAGGCGGAGTGGGAGCTGGCCAGCACTCAGATTCCTGGGCACCACAGAGTCTGCATTCCCAACAAGCCTGGCGGGCCGGTGGTACGCACGCAAGGGTCTGGAAGCGCTGACCTAGCCATCGTCTGTCCTACTTCCCTCCATCTGCCTCTTGTCTTGTCTCACCTCTGCCACCCGCTTCCGCGCCCGGAGCCCTGGGGGCAGGCAGGGCTCGGCCGCTCACACTCCGCCAGCCCAGGGGCGCGTCCTCCTTGACATGCCATCCCCGAGAGGAGAGACCAACTTCAAACCTCTGGCTCCCAACACCCCAAGCGTCTGCTCACCGCACACATCTCCTCCTCTGAGGGGGAACCAGAGATGCCTCCCCCTGGGAGCTGCAGGACCAGTAGGGGCTCTTGGAAGAGACGAGGCTCAGGCACCAAGGCCTCACTGGGTCACCAGGCACCCTCCTTATGTACCCTCTGAACAAGAGTTCACTCGCGAGCTGCCACTGGCCGTTGAGTTCCAGCAAGAACCTCAGACTAGCTCTCGCTATACCCCCACCTGGCTCGGGGTGCTCGGCTGGGCACAGCCCCGGGAGGGGTTTCAGCCACACCTCCACCGTCTCCTTAAGGTCGGAGCCACCTTCCTGCAGCTTCTTGCAGCCGGGCTCAAATCAAACAACCTCCTTTGTTCTGCACGGAACTGACAAGCCATTAAAACCCCATTATTATGCCATAATTTCAGAAAATTGATCCCAGCAAATAGCTAAACGGGGCTCAAAGTTGCTTTGTGTGACACCTTATTTGAGGCTTTGAAACGTCAGCGAGCTGGCGTCTCTGGGACCCACGTGTCAGCGCCCAGGCTGGCGGACCCCACTGGGGAGCGGACGCGAGGTTGGAGCCTGGGGCGATCACCCCACCCGCTCCCCCTGCGGGCCGCAGCCGGTCCAGGGCCCTGGCACTGTGCCCGCGGAAACGTTAGCCGCTGGAGGACAGGAGAAGAAAGGACACGGGAAAGAAGACATACCAGTGGGAAAATGAAGCCCTGGAGGGCTATGAACAAATCACTAATAAGGGATTTAAAGGAAACCGACCTCGAGATCTCTGCTAATTATGCTTGACAGCAATCGTGCAGCCGTGGGGACCGGGGACCGAGGGGGCGTCCCCCTCTCCCCGCCGGCTGGGCCTGGACCACATCACCACCTCCCAAGCCCCGCAGGCTCTTTCCTGTTGCTTCTGTCTTGATTTATAATATGCTTTTTTCCTAAAGGAAGTGCTTCACGG